TAGTGGACTCTGGTCTCCTCCATGCTGAGGAGGACTGAGTCTGAAGGAACCAGAGAAGCTCAGGAACGAAAGATGGACTCACTTTAGTTCCTGCTTTGAAGCCTGAAGTTAATCTCTGAATGTGAACTGGTCGTTTGTAATCGGATATCAGAGACAGTACTCTGCTGATGGAAGTAATCTGATTACTGAGGTAATGCAGGTTAGAATGAGTTGATGTTTAAGTCACAGATGGCAGTTGGCTGTTGGGTCGCTAAGCTAATGGTTAGCATGCTGGTCCTATCTTGAAGTGTAATGGCTCGCAGATGGCCGCCTCCTGTCCTTCGGTCTGCCCGTCTGTCCTCCAATCACAGATGAGGATGACCTGACGTCTCAGACACACACACCAAACACACACTCAGCTCTGTGCTACACTAACAGCGGACTGAAGCAACGCTAATGACTGCGACTGTATGGGAGTCCAGAGAGCAGTTCAACACTGCAGCTAAACAAGCTAACAGCACTGTTAGCTCCCTGGGTGAACATACACACACACACACACACACACACACACACACACACACACACCCTCAGTAATTGACTGTTCTGGCTTTAATCAGCGTTTATTGGAGAACAGTTCTGCTGCTAATGACACCAGATGCTGATTGGCTCTGTGGGTCCCCTGACACCTGTCAGTCACGCTGCAGCAGCCAACCGCGTCTCCCCTGGGCCCCCCCTCGGAGTACCCATGGTGCCTTGCAGCGCTGGCAGTGAGCGGAGCTGATGTGAATGTAAAGGAGAGGCGAACGTCGGCTGAATCTTAACTGGACAGTTTAGCACAAAGAAAACAAAAACTGAAAGCTGACGTGGTTTTGTTGAGACAAACGTCTGAATATGGCCACGATGGCGCTCGCCTCACACCTGCACACACATGAAGGCAAACAGGTGAAGGGCTGGCGTGAGAGCAGCAGATCCCAGCGTGGATGGAGGAAACAGGAATGAACAGGGCAGGACTTGTCCTCGGATGTGGTCCAGCTTGGTCCGGCTCAGACCCATTCACATGATATCTACTCATGAAGCAGCTGCTGCATTCAGATGACGTATGTAGGAAACACACGTCTGCTTTGTATGTACATGTTTGTACACACATACATTCAGTACATACATGTTTTATCAGCATATGTGCACATTGTGTTCACACCTTCATAACAAACACAGCCACGACTGTTTAGAGACAAAACCACCACAAAGAGACACAAAACAAACACCAGTGTGCGCTCTGAGCAGTTTGAAAAGTTTGAATTTTAACTCTGCAGAATGTAAATATTGATATGATGGCATTTTGACGACCTGTAACTAGTCCCAGACTACCTGTAACCTATCCCCAGACTACCTGTAACTAGTCCCAGAC